ACCGACACTGTGAGCAGGGATTTAAACACTCCGGTGTTAAGCACAGCCTTTAGCTCCAGGATGTCACTGAGAGCCATGGACTCCAGCTCCTCCTGAGAAAACACAACAGGTTTGCATACACATAAACAACGTCACAGACCTCTGCATATATACATTTAAATCAAAGGAAAGACTAATTTCTTGTACAAAGGTACTCTTAACTTAGAAACAAAGTCTAGAATTAGAATATACAATGCAGTATAAAGATCAAAGATACAGTTTATTAGTATGGTTCGGGGCTTCACTGTTTCTTCTCTGAACAAAAATGATATGCAGCTTCTTATTTTAAAAGGATACAGGAAGTGCTGAGTTGAAATGACAGCATGATGCATTCAATTTAACAGGGCAAATGGGAGCAGATTAAAAATAAAAATAGAAAAATACAGAGGGAATGAGAAATAAAGGCCCATGTCTAATGTAGTCTGTTTCAAAATAAGCTGGTACCTTCTGCAGTTGTGATAAGTGAAGATTCAGCTACTATTTGTGAATTTTATTTTATTTTTTTATAACATTCTCCATTATAAAGAAATAACATTCTTTGCTAGCTTCATGCTGATGGCAGCACTCACTAGGTTGCAAAAGTGTCACGGCTGTTTCACGCCATAATTTTTTGTCAGGACCCCATGAGGCATCCCAGTTGTAGTGTTGGTTAATGTCTACTCTGAGACACTATACAGGATAAAACGATGGATTATTGCAAGCGATACACATTTGTTCACGATCTGAGGTGACACCGTAAGGTATCGTGTAGTCGGAACCCAGCGTTAGGCACAAACAACTTGGTTAGGTTCATGGAAAGATCATTATTTTTGGCTGAAATTAGTATTTTATTAAGGATAGGGATTTGAGTCAAAATTTGTACTTTGTAAAGGTTAGCATACCGTCATTGTCATAGTTATAATAACAACAGCACTGTTAAGGTTAGGGAACAATTGTAGTCGTGGTTAAAAGAAACCAATGTTGACTCATAGAAGGAAACTGGAAACAAACTCGTTTCTCGTTAAAGTCTGAGGTTTATAGAATAACGTCACATGATGACCTCCTTTGCTCCTGGACAAGAGTTTTCATACAGACATGAGACATTTGCTGAAATAATATATATAATATTTTTTTGGTGGGACACTCTCAAATATAGAATTGTGCATCATCTGCATAGAAGTGAAAACAGATGCTATGTTTGAAGATGATAGTACATAATGACAGCACGTTGCCTGATATCAGACACAATTGTCAGTGCATTACACTGTCCTTTAGTCCAACAGTGTGTCCACTTTAACCAATTTCTATGAAGAGGAGGACCAGCCAATCACCAAAGACCAACGTATCCACCTGAATCTAATGCCATATTAAGTCTACAGTGACGTGTAGCCATGCTAACATAACTGTTTTACCAGGGTTTCAATAGTGGAGCAGGGTGAAGTCAAAACAAACTACGATATCGGGCAATATTGACAAGACATGTTGATTTAGAACAACCTCTTTAGCAGTGTCTATCTTGTCTATAGTGCTCACCATTGTTATTACTCCTCATAGGTTCAGGCACATCACCTGACAACAGCTTGACAATGACATTAGTCGTGTCTGTTGTGCTGACTGGCTAATCATTAGTCACCCTGAGGTGCTCACTGGTTGTTTTTTTATTTCAACAGAGAAACTGCTTTTTCATGTAAGGAAGTCAGATGAATCAGTCAACTTTAAGTCAGTGGAGTGAGCAGATTCAAAGGTCTGGAGCCAGGAAAGGCATCATTTATAGATGGACAACAAGGGGACCAGCACTGAACCTTGAGGTGCACCGTACGAACTCCCCATTGGAACCAAAGTGACCTTTTAGATAAGACCTAAACCAGTGCAGAGCTGTGTTGGAGAGAGGCCAATTACCATTTCTAAGATTTCTAAAAGGAGATCGTTATTGACTATACCAAACATAGTGATTCAGTGATTGTGGTGTTCAATAAAGTTGAGATCTGGTGACGGTAAAGGCCATAACATTTATGATTCACTTCTATTTTTAGCCTCGTCTAATCATCAAGTGAGCCTTTATACCCTGGGTGGAGTCACTGTAATCCTGGAAGAGACTGCTCCTATCAGATTTGTATTTTAATTTTTTTGACCAATCTGTCGGTGTCACACGCTGCTTACCTTGGTTTCAACGTCTGTGAGCATCAGGTTGGCTCCACGCACCTCCAGCACCATGTTCTGACCCCACACACGACCCATCCCATCCAGCACCTTCAGCCGCTCCACACAGTCCTCTACGTTTCTCAACTCCTTCCCATTCAGGTCACATGTGAACAAGTGCTGCAGCAGAGAGGCATAGAAGCATAACATTAAACATGGCATGATTCAGGAAAGGTTGCTTTATATTGATAATTTTACATATGTTACCTCCACTCTGTACTGCAGTTTGTCCATCATCTTGTTTACTGATACTGCGTACTCCCTCCTTTGCACTGTTCAAACATAAACCAGACCTCTATGTTATTGTAAAATTAAACTGATCAGGTGTAACCACTGTTTATGTCGAGTACAGCAGTGTTAACTCACAGTAAATTGACTTTGCACTGGGCCTCGACAGATTTGACACCTGTGATGACACCTCATCCATAGTAGAGTAACCACTGTCACAACAAACCCAAGCACTTTACAACACTGATCATCTGCTGATTAATAAAGTCATGACTGAACCAATCAATTGATTGATCCATCAACAGCATGAAATTGTTAAATACATACTTAGACTGGAGCGATCCTGCGTAGCTTAGGGTGTCATTGCCAAAGAGACTGTTACTCCTGGACATCTTCAGCACTGACCTAACAAACAGCAAATGTTAACGATCTATTTGACTACAGTAGAAGAAACTCAACATATTTCAAACAAAAACACAGCATGTTTGAGGTTATTTAGTCAGGAAAGTCTCTTGTAATCAGATCGGTTCTCAAGATCTTCTCACCATCAGTAATATAAGGAAGATTATGATAAATGAAATGCAAACACACCACAACTCTTCACTACAGATTGTTTACACATATAACAAAGACATGTCCAGTTTAACGTTAAGATTCATAATCAAATGTTCTTACCTTTAACCTCTGGTAGATGAATGTAGCTGTATTATTTATCTTTTAGTACAAACACAACTCATATTTTAATCTTGCACCTCAGTGATCGACATACAGCCAAGACTTCCTCGTGAAGCAGAAGGACAAAGTCCACTGTCAGTAGCAGAACTGTCTGTGGGAGACTGAGTCGAGTCAGTTAAGGGTGTGAGAGCTTTAGTGCGGCATCCCATCTGAGCAAAGGTTACAAGATACAACGGAAATCACCCTGGAAAAGCTTAAAGGTCTCTGTGTCTATAAATAAACTTGTGTTATCTGCAATGTAACATCAGCAATTTGTCATTTTACAGTGTTGTTAGGTTGAGATTATTGTACCAACTCTTCTTTTTTTTCTTCTTCTTCCTAACTGAAAATGAAAAATTAGTTTGGGCCTAAAAATGTGGGAATCCTATCATAATTAACTGTCTGCCAAACGACAGATGTACATCACAATGAATTTAAAATAGATCTACAGAGGAAGACGAGATAGGTGTTCATTGCATTGCAGTATTGATATTACTAACGTCCCTTCAGGCACATCATAACTTTTTATTGTACTGAAGTTATATCAACAAAGAAGACAAATCTATCAAAGTCAGGTTCATCTCTATTCAACGCCCAGTTTTAAATGTTTTCATGTGTCTTTACCAATACTACTTCCTTCAAAGGGGTCAAATGGGGTCAGTAAAGAGCAATCAGGGATGGAAAGATGGACAGAGATAGAAAATCCCATCAATGTGGTCAACTTTTAACATTTATA